GTCTGGTGTGGTGCACCCAGGGCTGTGTGCTAGAAGGTGAGCTGGGCTACTGGCAAGATCCATGAAAGCCATGTGACTCTGGGCTAGTTGCTGGCTGGTTCCTTTTGCCCATTCGAAAATGGGGGGCCGGGAACAGTCAGCGGTGCCTTATCTCAAATGCTTGGCTGCTTCTGAAATCAGAGTCACGCAAACTTGAGAGAAAAGGAAGGTGGGGTGCTGGCTCTCTGAGGAGCCTCAGGAAGCACTCTGTAATCAAACACATTAATATTTTTGCAGCAAAACATATGAATATTCAAAATAGGGGAGATAAATATAGCTTCCCATCAGTTCAGATCAGGTTTGGCTGCTAAATGAGTTTGCTGCAATCGTCCACAAAACCTTTTAGCTTTTCAGAGCTCTTCAGACATGATAATCACTGGTGGGGGGTGACAGGCCGGTCCCTCTTCCAGGGAAGGCCGGAGGTTAACAGAGGTAAAGTCACTGAAGGTTTGCTTGGCAGAGGAGAGAGTGTTACGACTGATCCCAGGCATTACCGATATTTCTGATCATTCCACAGCACACGCCTTTCCAAACAGAACCTGGTGTGACCTCAGAACTGTCTAAAGCTGTCACAATAATGAAAGGGAACCCAGAGTTCAGGGCAATCTACACTTCCCCAAAGTGGCCTAAGCTGAGATCAACAGTTCCTGGCCCTTGGCAACGTGGCCAGGCGCTGAGAGCAGCCCAGCAAGAGCCAGCAGCAGAGCAAAGCGCTGCCCCAAACCTGCCATTTGGACTCTGTGGTCCCCAGCACTCTACGGCTGGCTCCAAGAGCCTCCACGAGGGGCTGGCATTGAGGCCCAAGGAGCCCTGGGCATCTCTGGCAGAGCCAGACAAGAGGTCAGTGGGCTAACGGCTGGTCTGCAAGAGACCCACTAGAGCCTCCTGGCCCAGCAGAGACCTGATTCTGAAGCATTCAACTGAATTTGGGGAAACTGAGGGCTATGAACAACTACAGCCACACTTAGGACCGCCCTCCAGCTCGCTGCAAATCTCATAACTCATGCCTGTAACTCTGAGCAGAGGGTACACCTGAGGCAGTTGAGCTGGTCCCTAGGTCAGAGCCACACAGTCTACAGGGAGAAACAACAGCTCCAGGCTTCCAGTGAGAGGAAGTTTCTCTGGAGAAAGAGGGTCCTATCTCTGGGACCCGAGATAATCCCCTCTCCCTCCCTCAGCAGCCACTGTTGCTGTGCCCTCCAGGTAAGGTTTGCTCCTGAAACTGCCTGGGGAATGTTCTAGATCTCTTGGGTCTTCTCAGTGGCTTCTGAATTGGAATTTTTGGTCTTTCCATCGATCCATGACTATCTCTGACCCGCACTGTAGAAATCACAAATCCCCCAATGTTTTTTCCTTTTCTTTCTTTTTGTTTTGTTTTGGGGTCACACCCAGCAGTTCTCAGGAGTTACTCCTGGCTCTGTGCTCAGGGATCAGACCTGATGGACTTTGAGGGTGACCATATAGGATGCCGGGGATTGAACCCAGGTTGGCAGCATGCAAGGCAAACACCCTACCTGCTTTACTGCCCCTACATTTTTCATTCTGTTTGTGGCCCCAATAGGCACTTCTGACCAGGTTGGAGAAACCTCTTCACGGGTCTGGAACAAACCCTCCTTCCTGCTTCCCTTCTCAGCTCTCACCCCATTTTCTCCTCAGGCCCTTCTCCCCTCAAGAAGAAAAGCAACAATTACTGCTGGACCCTGAACTTTTACCCATGTTCTAACAAGGGGCTGGGACGCAGCTCAAGCCGTAGAGGACATCCTATTGCATGAGTGACCGGGGCCCTAACCCCAGTTTGCTGCACGGTCACCGGGCATGGACACAGGCCTGGACACCAAACCCATTAGGTTACACCAGCAGGCTGGACATCACCAGGAACTGTTGGGGGTGGCCCCATAAAATTCTAAGTTAAAAAGGAGTGAAAATAAAGCCTATGGCTTGTTATTTTCATCTTTAGTGCTAAGTTCCACCGATAGTTCCACAGTCCCCTAACATCAAAATCACCTGTCCTGGCTTGGGGAGATGTTCAAGGGCTACTGACGAGGCTCTCTGCAGCTCTGGGGCCCCGTTCCCAACCACGAAGGGCCTCCCAAACTCGGGGCTAGAAGTCGCACGGCCCTTCCCGCTTCCGCCACAGCCCGTAAACAACAGCAACCAAAAACTGAGAAACAACCTGCCCCACTCTGCAGTGTCTACTTTTCCCCCTCTTTGCCCTTCTAACAGTGCTGGGAGGAAGAGAAGAAGGTAGGGAACTGGAGAGGGTGGCAGCTGAGCTCTGGGGCATGGGGGCCAAGAGAGCAGGCAAAAGGCCCCATATAGCAGACGCTTGCGTCCAGGGGCTGCCGGCGGGAAGAGGCAGAGCCATGCCCGGATTCTTTGGATCATCTCTCCGTGCAAAGCCATGCCCAGCTCCAGTTTCTCTGGGCTGCGGCGGCTAACTTTCCACCTTCCATCAAAAGTACATTCTCCATGTCAGCAGCCCACAGCGTGACCCCAAGGATTCCAGGATCCGTGCCCGGCCATCATACGGTCCCAAGGACAGGGGCAGTGTCAGCTCGGGCAGCACCAGGCTGGAGGCAGGCAGTGCTGTGGGCATTGCCCTCTGGAACTCGGAGCCAGAGGGGACGGAGGCAGAGTGGAGGCGGGGGCACCCCCTCTCACCTTGGTGCCTAGGAAGCACCAGCCAGAGTTTTAGAGTGTTCTGGAAGCCACTTCATTGATTCTGCATTAGAACCACTGTAGGGGAGTGGGAGGTGGTGTGCATCTCGGGGGACCAATTCGGTGCTGGGGATTGAAGCTAAGGCAAACACCTTAACCCCTGTTCTCTCTCTCTCTCTCTCTCTCTCTCTCTCTCTCTCTCTCTCTCTTTCTCTCTCCAGCCCTCCATCATCTCCACTTCCATAAGAGCCAGACAGGGCTCAGAATGGTTTTATTGCTAGCCCAAGCTCTCAGTAGTATCATCCAGGCACCCCTCACCAGAGAAAGAGAGAGAGAGAGAGAGAGAGAGAGAGAGAGAGAGAGACCAAGGTCCCACAGCATGGGAATGTAGAAGTCCCATGCATGGTCTGTGTCCCCCTTTCAGACAAAAACACAAATACTTTCCTTCCCCACATCCCTCCTACGCCGACCCCATTTCTCAGAGCACGGAACTGAAATAATTCACATCCGGAGAAGAGATTCATCTCTCTGGTCAAGATCGGGGAGGGGGTTTCCTCTTTAGGAAAGTTTCGGCACCAAAACTCACACGACCTCAGCCTGAGAAGTCAGAACATTAAGAAGACACGCCTTAGCGGTAGTTACTTTTCACACCCGCAGGGGAAAAAAAAACAATATATACATATATACACATACATGAGCCATTTTTAGCTCAGTGGCCACTTTCCACACGGTTTGTCAAGGCATGATGAGATTCTGGCCCTACCTGGCCCTAACTGGAGGCGGGGGGGGGGGGGTTGGGGGTTGGCTAAGGGGTGCCCAAGAGTCCACCCCAGATCACCAGAACCATAGGCGTGAGGATGAACTTCTCAGGCCCACCACAGAAATGGTATTTATTGCCACCGTTCATCTGTCCCAGGAGGCGGTGAGTTAAATGACAGACACATGGCTACGGCAGGTACAAGCAACGCAATTCTCTTGGTACCGATGCCACCTGTGAGGGCAAAGTCACAAAACCTCTGCTCTGCAGAGAGGAGCCTCCTCAGGAATGAGTGGCTCCTGAAAGGCAGCACAGGGCCCTGAGGGAGTTCAGGCCTGGAGTCGTGGGCCCAGGATGCAGCTTCATGGTAGGACATTTGCCTCCATGGCTCTAGGAAGCATCCCTGGCGTGCATGCACGCACGCTCACGCACACGCACACGCACACATGCACAAACCAACTCCGAGACCTAAATGTGAGTGCAGCCCAGTTCCAGGTGTGACCCTGGGGAAAGGCCTGCGTCGCTTCCCTTGAAACGGAGGCACGGAACAAACTCCATAGAATGTGCTCTGCTGCCAACTGGCCAGGTCCCTGAGAACTGGCGAAAGGCTCCATCACCCAGAAGGAAGCGGAGCCAGCGGGAAGCCCAGGCCAGCCCCGAGAGGCATTTCATTCAACTGGGCAGAGTGGGGATAACGAAACTCAACAGGGAGTGAACCAGACTCCTGTAGCCCACCTTCCCTCCCGAGTAAAAATCAACTCCCTGAAGGTGTTCACAGGAAGAGACGGGGAGAAGGGAGCAGAGCCAGGTTCCTCATGACAAGCGGTCTGCAAGAACCTGAGCACCTGCTGGCAGCTCTGGAACCCAGAGTGGCACCTAGGCCCTCCCAGCTGGCCTGAGAAAGGCTCCATCTCTGCAAACATCACCTTAGAGGAACCTCAGACCCCGAACCCAGGGGCAGGGTCCATGCCCAACCTTCAGCTTTCACCCTCCATCCATCCTTTCCTCCCTCCCTCCTTCCCTCCACTTTCTCGAGCCCTCCCAGGAGACCCCATCAGCAGAGAAAGCACACAGGCATCCCTTCCCTCCAAAAAACACCATGGTGAAGGGCTGGAGCGATATCACAGTAGGGAAGGAGTTTGCCCTGCACGTGGCCCACCCTGGTTCGATTCCCAGCATCCCATATGTTCTCCCAAGCACCGCCGGGAGTAATTCCCGCATGCAGAGCCAGGAGTAACCCCTTGCGCATCGCCGGGTATGAGCCAAAATGGCAAAAAGCAAAGAAAGACCATGAGAAGACAGCCCCTCACCCCGACCCCGGAGCTCCCCAACGCATGCCAAGACCACTTCGCCACACTCTCAAAAGCTCCTCCATTCTTCCCAGGACTGGGAAAGACACGGCGGCGAATGCATAGCCTGGAAAACGGGGGCATCAGTGTCCTGTGTCCATGAGAGTGGCAGGGCAGGGCATGAAGTGGAGAGGGGGAGAGGTGGGGGGAGGACGCTGAGGGTCAGGCAAGTGGGGAAGGGGGCCACGAACCCCTACCTGTGCTGCTCCACGGCCTCATTGTCAGGCAGCTCCACCCCACACACGCTGCACTGCTCCCCCAGGCTCCGGCTCTCCGACTTCATGCCCACGGCCAGCTCGCCCAGCTTGTTGAACAGCTCCCTCTGGATGAAGCCCTGCGGCAGCAGCCCCCCGTAGGTGCTGAAGTCCATGGAGACGGCCAGGGCGGGCTGCACGTGGAGGCCGGAGGTCACGGCCGACGGCATGCTCAGCACGGCGTCGGCCTTGTGGTTGGGCAACACGGAGTAGAGGCCCAGGGGTTTCTCGGCGGGGGGTCCGGGGTGCTCTGGGCGGCCCGGGGGGGCCTGGCCAGCCTCGGCGGAAGCCTGCAGCTGCTCGGCACTCTCCTCACGCCCATAATGCAGCTCCCGGGCACTCGTGATGACGCTGCTCCGGGTGGGGGTGCCGGGCCCCTCCTTGCCCCTCTCCTCCACTTTGTCCCCCAGGCCACCGGAAAGGCTGGACTCGGCGGTGCCAGGGCTCTCCTGGCCGGGCACCTCATCTACCTGCATCATCTCCGCCTTCACCTCGGCCGCCGCTGCCGGGTGCCGCCCGCCCCCGGCCAGAGTGGGCTCCTCGGGCCCCGCGGGAGGCTGCAGCGTTCCCTGCAAGAGAGACTGTCCGATGGTCATCAGACTGTCCACCGCCGCCTTGGTGGGACTCATGGCCGAGAGGCCAAAGGAGGTGGAAACGGAAGGACTCTGGTCCACCAGGGGCCCCGCCAGGCTGGGCGCGGCCACGCTGGCGTAGCCACTCTCCTCGCTGGAATGCTTCGAGATGAAGAGGTTCTTGAGGTACCTGGCCTTGCGGTCCTCCTCCTCCTCGGCCCCACCTTCTGCCATGGTGGCCTCCGTGTCATTGTCATCAGAGGCTTGGATGGTCTCCAGGATCTTCAGGCACTGCTCCTCCAGGTACTCAATCTCCAGGATCTCGGCCGCGTACAGCAGGTCGTCGAGGTCCTCCGCCTTGGCCTGCAGCGTGGCCGTGTAGGCATACTCCAGGATCTGCTGGAAGGTCTTTGGCGAGAGGAAGTCCAGGGTGTAGTGCTGGCTGTTACGGTGGAAGAGGATCTCGAACATCTTGCTGGTGCAGGCCAGCACCGTGCGGTGGGCGTGGAACTCCTGGCTGTCCACCATGATGACCACATCGCACAGGGTCCCCGCCAGCCGCATCTGGTTGGCCTTGCACAGGAGCCCCGTGGGGTGGCTGGGGTTCTGCAGCTGGATCATGCCCATCTTCGTCAGATCCATGGTGCACCCCACAGCTTAGGCATGAGGCTCTCTGTCCTTCCGGGCTCTGCGTGGCGGGGCAGGGTATGTGCCCTGGGCTGGGAGAAGAGAAGAGGCACAGGAGAGAACAAAAGATAGATTAGTGAGCGTCACTAAAAGGAAGCATTCCACCCCAGCGAGGCGCCCTGGCCAGAGCATGTCGGGAGATTTTTAGAGGAGGAGAAAAGGGCGTTTTAGCCATGGCGGCATCTGCTTTGTGGAGTCCAAGAACGAGGCGAGCACAGACAAGGTTCTGTCACGGGGAGGCCTAATTTGCTGTTCCAGGATGTGTGTGTTAGATGAAGTGAAATGAAAATTACAGTGCCGTCTGGTGAGTCTGGGGCTTTCTCTAATTCTGAGTTGGGTGTATTGGTTCCTGGGCAAGACCAACATCCATTATGAGGTACCTGCGTTGAATACGAATTTCACCTCTTCATTCAATCAATGGAACTCTCCCTTCCACTTTCTGCCGCCTCTCCCAATGCCAGCAAGCCTCACCTTCAAAATACCGTTTCTCTAAACCCAGCCTCACTGGGGCAGCCTCAGGAGACAGGTGGCTGCCCCGAGCCAGGCCAGAGGATTCTGTGGGAACAGAGCATCGCTCCAGGGCTCCTCTCTGAGCATCTGTCAGCACCTTCTTGGACCTCTGTCCTTTACTCAGGACTGCAAAGGTCAACAGACCCCAGTCCTGAGCCAATTCCTCCACACTGACAGGAATGCGCGCACACACACACACACACACACACACACACACACACACACCGACCCAGAGGTGCCTCTGAGTTTCTGTACCTCGTCCAGAATCTAGCATGCCTGCCTGTGCGTGCATGTGCTCATGAGCCGGCCCACATGGAGCACTCCCAGGTGTTCTCGCACTTACATAAGATGCCACATTCACCGCTCTCGCACAAGTGTCCAGAGGGTGAATAAGACATGGGGATAGCCAGTGAGAATCCGGATAGGGAGCCCAGGAAAGAGCCCAGCAGGCCCGGAGGGTTCGGCAGTTCCCAAAATGCCATATCTGTGTGTGAATGGGAGCCACCAATGCTGCTGGACACGGATCTGCAGCACGAGAAGTGTCAAGTGGCACCAGCATCTCTGGTGTGAGTTACCACAACGGGGAGGGAAGATGAGGCTGGGAGACAAAGACCTGGCCCAGAGCCCAGGTACCCAGCCCTCACAGCGTCCCAGGGCTCTGGACCCCTTCTGGAAAGTGCTCGAAAGACCTCACAGGCCCAGGTCCGCCCCACCCCAGCCGCAGTCCTGCTGTGGCCAATGTTTCTGAGAAGGGAACTGGAAGAAACGCGAGCTCGCTCTCCTCCCTTTTCCAAAAGCGCTTGCCTCCGCCCCCAGTCCGCCCCCCCTTACCCCACCCCCGCCCGCACCCCTCTTAGCACCACCACCACCAGCCCTATCTGCTTTAGCGCCACAAATGTTAGGCAGAAAGGGTTAACAGGTCAGCTAAAGGAGACACACTTTTTGCTGCCCATCCCGGGGTGGCGGCTGAGGCCGTCAAGGGTGGGACAATGTTTGATCCAAGTCTTCTCGGAGACTTCGGGGACCCGGAGAAAAGCAGGAGGAAGCGAGCGAAAGCACTGGAGCTCGGCAACCCGAATTCCTTCCCAAACGCAACCTCCTCGGGGAGGTGAGGGAAATCGGGGTTCGCCATCGGGGTTCGCCGGGCCAGCGGTGCCCACCACCCGCCGCTCGGCGCCCGCGGTCCGGCCGGCGCTGGCTGCACCGCGCACCCGGGTGTCACTGGGGAAACGCCGGCGCTCGCCCGCTCCAGCATCGGGGATCGATCGCGCGCGCGCGCGCACACACACACACACACACACACACACACACAGAGACACACGCGCGCGCGCACACACACGCACACACAACACACACCCTGTCCCGGCCACCCCCACGGGAACGTGCAGGCGACTTCGGCAAACTTGGGGAAGCAACTTTTCCCGGGGAGCCCGGAGGAGAAAGCCGGGGCGCCGGGCTCGGGGAGAAGAAAAGCGAAAGAGAGCCGGGGCGGACGCCGGGCGCGCGAGGCCGGGCAGGGCTGGGCGCCCCGGCGAGGGCTGCGAGGCGGACCCGCCCCGCGGCGACCGGGAAGGCACAAAAGCCCGAGCGCCGCGGCTGGGAGGAAAGGCGCAGACCGGCCGGGCCGGGCCTCCCTCTCCGACCCCGGGGCCGTGACCCGCGGGAGCCACGGGCAGGGTCCCGGGCCTCCGGCGGGCGGCGCCAGGCAACGCCGCGAGGGGACGCGGGGCCGGCGAGGGGCTGGGCGCGGAGCGCGTCCGTGCGTCCCGGTGCGTGTGCGGACCCGCGAGCTCCTGCGCCTCTGGAGCGCGTGCGGGAGGGTCGCGGGGGGCTGCACCGAGGTGCTGCCCGCGCGCCGCGGTGGGAGCAGGCATCCCCGGACGCATCAGGTGCAGAGAGCCGGGGCGCCCGCCGAGCGCGGCCGCGAGCGCACGGCGAGCCCCGGCGCCACGGCCGGTCCCGCCAAGAGCCGAAGCTGGCCCGGAGCCCCACGAACCCCTCCGGAGCTCGTCCACGGCCCCTCCAACCTCCCCCACGCCACCACCCCCCGCCCAAAATAATAATGATAATAATAAAGCCAGGGGGGAGGGTCAAGCCTAATCTCGGGAAAACATTTTTTTTCCTAAAAAAAAAAAAAGAGCCCACCACGTTTTCCAAAGAGAAACAAAACCCGAGCGAGTCGCAGTCCTGCTCCTCTCCTCCGCCCCCGGATCCACTCGTCGGAGCCGCGGCTTCTCGCTTCCCAGCGGGCCCGCGAATAAACACAAATAAGCCACAACCCGATCTGGCGCCCGCGCACCGGTCCGCATACATATGAGCGCCCGCCCGTCCTCCGCCGGCCCCCGCGTACAAAGCTCCCCGCGTCGCCCACCCTGCGCTCGCGCCCCCGGCCCCGGGGACCGCTCCGTCTCCCCCCGCCCCAGCCCCCATCCACACACCTCTCACCCCAACCCCGTGCCCCGGCGCGGACGGGCTGGGAGGCAGCTGCGCCCAGGCTGTGACAGCCGGGGCTCCCCCCGCCCCGCGCCTCCTCTCCAGCCGACCCCCGAGCCGGCGGTGGCCAGCGCCAACCGCCGCACCGAGGGCAGGAGCGGCTCGAATACCACCAGGCACGAGCCCGGAGGCCGAGTGGCCAAAGCCAGCCAGCCGGCCCCCCTCGCCGAGCCCCCCCCGCCTCCCCCCCACCCAGACCTCCCGGGGGAGGGGGTGGCCCCCGGGGCGCCCCGGGCGCGGCGCTCGCGGCGCGCGGGGCGCCCCTCCCCGGCCCCCCACTCACCGCTGCCGAGCCGGGCGCGTGGGGTGGGCGTGCGTGCGGCTGGGGAGGTGTGTGCCTGCGCCGGGGAGGGGTGCGCTGGGGAACTGTTGCTCTCGGAATCACGGCGGCAGCGGCGGCAGCGCCCGGCAGTTCGCAGTACCCGCTCTCATCGCCCTCAACTCCTCTGTGCAGCGAGGTTAGCAAATCACCACCGGCTGCGGCGCCTCCGCCGCGTCCCACGTCAACGCCGAGCCCCCTCCCCTGCGAGGCCCCGGCGCCTCTCCATCTTTAGTGCTGGCGGCCGAGCCCGGCTCCCTGCCCACAGCCGCCCCCTTCCCTCCCCCCTCGGCGCGGGCCGCGGCTCAGCCCGCCCACAGCCCCCCTGCACCGGCCGAGCCCGCGCGCGCGCCCCGCCCCGCCCCGGCCTGCGCCCCGCCCCGGCCGGCCCGCGCGCCGCGCTCCGGGCAACGGCCGCCCGACCTCGAGCCCCGCGCCGCGCCGAGCCCTCGCTCGGGCGGGGCGCGACCTTCGCCTCCGACCCCCGCGTTTGTCCTTCCCACCGGGCACGGGCGTCCTTTGTGCCCTGCTGCTCCCAGGCACCGAGTTGGAGCCCCGGCGCCGGGGCGCGCCCCCGGCTTTCCGCGCGTGTCGCACTTTCGAAGGCCCCCGCCCACCACCCCTACCCCCACGCCCCCACCCCGTCCCCGCGCGACACGGTCGCCGGCCCAGCCCCGAGTCCCGGGCCTTCGTGCCGTGCCTCGTGGCTGCCGTGCGTCTCCCGGGCACTGAGCATCCGGATTTCGAGACGTCTCCAGGCGCGCAGTTGGCTGGCACTGGTGGATGCGGTGCCAGAGGGTCCGCGGGGATCTGGCGTCGAGCGGAGGCGCCCTGCTCTCTGCCAGGCTCTGGCGGTCCCTGGAGGCCGCGGCCCACGTCCGAGAGAAACTTTTCTCCTTCCGAGCATCCCCTCGCCTAGGGCCCCTCCAGGGAGCCAGGTTGGAAACAGTTCCCAGGAACTTTGGGGGACCCTCCGCCCACCCTGTGGCTCTGCGCCGGCTTCAGGGGCGGGTGAAAAGTTGAAGAAGCTCCAGGACCTCCCCCGCTCCTTGCAAGTGCCTCTTCTCCATGAGATCACTAACCCGGGTAGGGCCGCTAGAGGGACTCTGCGCCGTCTCGCCAGAAACCCATTTTCCTCTTTCCCTGGTGGTTTGACCCAGGACGAGATTCCAGAAGGGGTCCGGGTGGAGGGCACAGACTCCAGGTCCTGCAGCCGAAGCATAATCAGTCCCAAGACGCCCTCCACGTGCGTCAAAGGGGTTCGCAGTTTCCAGGGGGATAATCACAAGCAGGTTGGCCTTTGGCACTGGTTCCAAAGCCGTAGGATAATGGAAGGTGGCAAAAAGCACATTGCTGTTTAAAAAAAATTTTTTTTTCCAAATTGTTTTTAAAAGTCGATGAGAAGCAAAAGTTGGCATCTGGCCCCCAACAGGAATTTAGGAGTTCACCTGATGGTTCCCACCGAGCTGTGAGACAGGTGGCCTCAGCACGTCCCTCCCAGCAAGCAGAGCTCCGAAGCCTCCTGCCTGGCCCTCAGGGACAGTGCTCAGGCTGCAGGCAGAGAGGAGTGAACTGGCAAAGACAAGTACTTGGGCGTCTCCAGCACCTTTTAACCATGCTGGAGACGCCCATGGCCTGGTGTGCACTTCCAGTCACAAGAAAGTGACCAGAGCTGGGAGGAGCCCTGGGCACCACCAGGCATGGCCTAGAAAGCTGACCAGAGGGTCTGGCGCCATAATACAGTGGGTTAGGCTCTTGCCTTGCAGGTCGCCGACCCAGGTACCATCACTGGCGTGAAACTTCATATGGTCCATTGCTCCAGATGCTCCATATGGTTCCCAGAGCACCACCAGGAGTAACTCCTGAGTGCAGTGGCAGGAGTAACCCCTGAGGATCTACGGGTATGACTCCCCCCCCCCCCCCGCAAAAAACAAAAAACATAAAAATAAAATCTGACCAAAAAGAGCAATCCTACTTTAGAGACTTTTGCTACCGACTTTCTATGCCATTTGTAAAAGGAAAGGGATTTAAAGAAAGTTAAGAAGAAACTGTGGCACATCCGGAAACGCAATGGAATGCTACAGAGCCACCAGGAAAAACGAAGTCATGAAATTTGCTTCTAAATGGATGGACATGGAGAACATCATGCTAAGTGAAATGAGTCAAAAGTGGAGAGACAGACATAGAATGTTTGCACTCATCTGTGGGCTATTAAAGAAAAAAGAAAGTGTGATATGAGACTAATACCATGGACAGTAAAACATGGATGGAAGCTTGTCACAGTGGAAGGGCTGGGGGAGGGTAGTTAGGATAGAGAAGGGATCAGTAAGACAAAAGATAGTTGGAAATGATCACTCTGGACTAGAACTGAGTGCTGAAAGTAGGTAAAGAGATATACATGATAACCTCTCAGTACCTATTTTGCAAATCATAATGCCCAGAAGGAAAGAGAGATAGAGAGAGAAAAGGAGAAAAACTGCCTCCCATAGAGACAGGCTGGGGGGAAGGGGTGCAGATGGGGAGAGTGATGGGAGGGAAGCAGGGAATTTTGGGGAAAGAATGTGTAGAAGGGTGAAGGGATGGGTATTGGAACATTGTATGACTGCAACCCAATCCTGAACAACTTTGTAACTGTGTATCTCACAGTGATTCAAGTTAAAAAAAAAAAAAAAGGGAACAGGTTGGCCAAGAGAGAGGAAGGGGATGTGAGGATAGGGGGGGAAAAAAAGCCCCCTACTGCCTCCCCAGTGAGATGAAATAAAAGTAACTTGTTGAGCTACTGCCTAAAATGTACCTGCTGAAGGCTCTCCACCTCCTGATGCAGGAGCAGATGCAGTTGAACCTTTGACTCTAATCTATTATGCCTTCAACCAGGGAAGAGGAAGCCTCCCGGAGAGAAAAGAAGAATCCCTCTGTGGCCTGCACTCCCCCAGCTCTGCGCCATCGTCGCTGTATGTGAAAATCTCCTTTGCTTCATAAACTCTGCCCATTAAAAAGCCCAACCCTTGTTAGTTAAGTGTTAAAGGGAGATTAATGCCTGAATTTAAGAGGTGGAGAAGGTAACAAAAAGGGGGAAGGCAGAGGAGGCAGTGGGCTGCGTGCCAGAGTTGGGCTTCAAGCATTTCCACTTAGTGCCACTGAAGGCTGACTGCACAGCCGTTTGATAAGGTATATTGGGTCCAGATAAAGCGACAGCAGCTCCACCAACAACAACTAACACCATTTGTGGCTGGAGTTCTGTCCGTGGGTCCCTAGAAGGTTGATGCAAATCTCAGTTCAGAGATTTCATATGGCAGCACATCAAAGCAAGCAGGATGAAAAACGATGAGAAAAACAACTCCTGATGTGTGTGTGTGTGTGTATGTGTGTGTGCGTGTGTGTGTGTGTGTGTGTGTGTGATGGTCACATAATTGTAGTTTTGCTATTGTTTTTTTTTTCTTGAAGGATGTGGAAAAGGAAGCTGCTGGCCCAGCGGTGTGGGGGAGTCCCGAAAACAGGTTTCAGATGTGCTATTAGAGGAATAAATGAAATGACCTTTGGAGAGAATCCGGTTGCCAAATCCTCCAATGTCTCCATTCCTGCCGTTGCTCAAAGACGTCGTTCTGGTGGCGGGCTGTGTGTGGAAGAGGAAGGTGAATCACATCTTCAGGAATCTCACCGGAAGGAGACAGTGGAAATAGGAACTCTTTCTGAGCGCTGATGATGAATCTTAACCCACCATCTGTATCATTTTCTTTAACTTGCCAAGCGACCCTATTGATGGAGGGGCCACTCTCTTCCCCCCCCCCCCTCCCCAGTTTCTGCAGATGAAACAGGCTCAGGGACTTACAGAACTGGAGAGTTTGTCACTATCACTTTAGAAGATTTGGAGGGGTGGGGAGGCTTTGGGGGTCCCACTCAGCTGTGTTCAGAAGCTTCTTCAGGCTCTGTGCTTGGGCTCCCCCTGCCAGTGCTTAAGGGATTACGTGGTGCCAGGGATTGAACTCCTGCATACAAAGCTTGGCCCTTGGAGCTGTATCTCTCCAGCCCAGTGAACTTTCTTTTCTGAGAGTAGAAAACCCAGAGGTGCTCGAGGAAGTATCGGGGTCAAATCTGGGTGGGATACAGGCAAGGCAAGTACCATAACCCCCTGAACTCTCTCTCCAGCCATGGGCTGAGACTTTAAATCAGATCATTCCACCTACAAGGCTCAGGATCTTCTGAATTATCCAGGCTCCACTGAGGTGGAAAAGACAAAACAGAACTTTTCCCTTACCTTCTCCTTATTCCGCTGAATAAGAGGCCAAGAACATGCAGTAGCCAGTCATGCTAAGGACTAGATAGAGCTTTGGGTTTTTATTATTATTATTATTATTGTTCTTGCTTTTTGTTGTTGTTGCTTTTGCTTTTTGGGTCACACCCAGCAATGCTCAGGGGTTTACTCCTGGCTCTGCACTCAGGAATTACTCCTGGAAGTGCTTGGGGGACCATATGGGATGCCAGGGATTGAACCTGGGTCAGCCACTTTCAAGGCAAATGCCCTATCCACTATAATATTACTCTGGCCCTAGATAGAGCTTTGTAATATCAGACTACCAGCTAAATAAATGGACAAATTGCCTTGTATCTCTTCCTCCATGTTTCAGGTCAACTGGAAGAGGCAGTTCTGAATTACCCTTAAACTTCAATTGAACAGACCCCAGGAAAGAGGTGATAGACTGTTGGGTCTTCGGGTTACTGATTATGTTCTCCAAGTTTTTTCTAGCTGTGGACTGTCCAACTTTTCCCCATTATTGTTCCAACTCCTATTTAAAGAGATTAAAATTTAAAAAATGATTTAAGTAAACCCTTCTATCTTGATCAGTGAACCACCTTTTGGGACAGAGGCTGCTTTTCATTGTCCTCAAACCTTGAAAAAAAGGAAGAAAGGAAGGGAGGATTAATTGGAGAGGTATGCAGGCAATGAGGACTAGCAGAAAAAAACGATAGTCACACACACGCACACACACACACACACACACACTCTCCATGCACACACTCACACACCATAGAGAACTTCAGGTTGTCCCTGAAAGGAACAGCTGCTGTCACTCTCCTCTCCTGCTCCCAGATCTTGACAGAAGTTTAGGGGGAGCAGCAATATCACCAAGTCCTTTCCTAGAGGCAGAAGCCCTTCCAGTGCTTCTTCTTTGCTGGGTTTACTAGACCTCTAATGATAGTGAAAACTAAGCAGCTTGGCCTCGATGCAATAGTTGATCAATTTTTTGGTTTTGAATTTTTTCTAATTATT